TGATATGTTTAATTTTGTCACACTTTCACTGTACTTAATATGATTTGTTTAATAATATGTCTATATTTCTCTGTAACATACGTTACAGTTACATACGTTTTTTTGTGGCTTCCTTGGAAACCAGTTGTTTTAAACTGACGGTACTACCCAACTGTTCTAAGATCAATCAATAAATGAAAAAAATACCCAATCAGGCATTCACCCAACCCAGGTTCAAAACTGAAGGGCAAAAATGGTCTCAAATTATCTTTCTATCTCTATTCATACTATATAATATATTCCTACTATATATAATACAAACGTTTACATACTAACTTTTTCTCCCAGAGGTCTCTGTCATACATCGTTTCTGTTAGTTCTTTCCCCCTTAATCCAGTCTCTTCTTCTTCTTCTCCGTTACTGCCCAGCCCTACAGTGTAGGATTATTGGAAGCCGTTACGCATTGTTAATAACAATTGTGACCCGGTACATAAAAAAACAAAGGGAGAACAAGGATAACTGAGAAGGGAACATAAGACAACTGATTTTGTGTGTGCTAAAGACGGGACAAGTGCATTAGTGCGTTAGTAATATTTACATATACACAAGACATGATGGGCTGGCTCAATGCAGCAGGGTCCTCGCCAGTTCAGATTTGAACTGGGCAAGAGACCCCGCCTCCGCTGCACCAGGCTCAAGTTCGTTCCATTCCCTGAAATCAAAGTCTAAGTCTCGATAAGGTCCTTTTTAAAAGTGTAGTGTATGTATGGTCTCTCCTTTTTTTTTATCTGCTGGAGGAACAATTTACTGGCTGGTTCATCATGGTGAGCTACATGGCCAGCGAGGCATAGCCTACGCAGCTTGACTTCAGTGGAGGTTTTGTACGGATGTTAGAAGGGACCCGTAAAGTTGTTTGTTTGTTGTTCCACCAAGGTATGTTGTATACAGAACGCAGCATCTTGGTAATGGTGCCGTCTAGTTTCCTGGCCTGCGAAGTGTTCATAAGGCCACAGCAAGTAAATTTTATGAATGACATCCTCCGCATGTAATCCAAATCTAATGCGAGCGGGCGAAAAAAAACAAGGCGGGCCGAAAAAAAACAAGGCTTCTACATTTTAAAATTTCGACTCAATCATTGTACAAATGGTTTTGATTCAGTGGGAACATCACATATACACAGCCAGCATCACATATCACTGCATCAAAGTAAGAAACAAAACATTAAATCAGAGCCTTTTATTGTCTCCTCTCTTTATACTATGTAGTTATCTGCCATCCACCTTCCGGCATGGCAACAGACATCTTTGCCCATTTTCGGCATGTTGACCACTGTCAGAAGGCAACAAAATGTCTTGTTTTTTCTTTCCAAAATCAGGCGAAAATTAATGCGCGCGCTGATGTCATCCATAAAAATTACTTGCTGTGGCCTAATCCACGACTCACAGCCGTACAGCAAAATTGTAACAACACAGGATTGAAATACTTAGTACTTTAGTTTTTGTTTCCTTCCTATACGTACTTGATTTCCAGACTCTTTGGAGAGAGTGTATGGCATTCCATGCCTGTCTAATCCTATATAAACGTCCATCTCCATGCCATGTTTTGAATTCCTGTAGACCCTCAGATATCTAAATTCTGCAACCCTTTCGCTTGTAGATCCATCGGAGGCACAGAGCTGAGCCACAGATGTGGGATTTTAATGAATAAATTTAGTTTTTGATGCATTGAGATTCAGTCCAATAGCTTGTCATATTGTCTCAACTCTGTAGAGAAAATCTTGCGCAAAATCTAAACAATATTTAAGAAGAGCTATACCCTCCGCTAAATCAAGATCGGGAAGGGTCACTGCCGGATGGCGACTACTACGACGGTGATGAAGGGTGGAGCGATCTGTACCTGTCCGCAATGTATAGTCTAAACATATGATAAATAGGTATGGGGCTAAGGGATCCGCTTTGAAAACACCAGTATTTACAAAATGCACCCTCCCGAGCAGGGTGTAGTGGCTCGGCCCCGAAGTGTCCTCCCTCACTACACCCTGCCAGTCCTGATTTGATTTGAGCCTCCAGCCCAGGAAGCCTATAACAAGCTGTCAGCCAATCAGAGACACAGCTTTGACTTCTGGAAAGCTAAGGGCAAAGGTCGTTGGGAATCCGACAGCCAATCACATTACGTCTTACATCGCTGGTTTGGGTTTCCGGTAATGGCGGCTGGTAATGTTTTCTCAGCCGTGCAAGACTTTTTCGGCGTCAAACAGCTTCACAAACACCAAAAAAGCACGCTGCAGGGACTGCTTGATGGACGAGACGTGTTCCTTAGTGTGAGGACTGGCGGAGGGAAAAGCCTGTGCTACATGGGCTTTCCAGCCGCAGCCAGAGCAGCGGCGGAGCTACAGTCTCAAAATAGAGCATGTGGCAAATAAGGCAAGCTCATTAATATGTATAGACTTCCTGGGCTGGAGGCTCAAATCGAATCAGGACTGGCAGGGTGTAGTGAGGGAGGACACTTCGGGGCCGAGCCACTACACCCTGCTCGGGAGGGTGACAAAATGAGTCTGTCTCTCGATCTGTGGTGATTACCAGACTGAAGTATGCCTATTCATGACTTTAACTGCGCTGAAAACATCTGATGGAATACCATTTGCATCTAAAATTTGGAACAACTTGTTGGAGATCTGAATGCACAGTACTATGAAGGCGGCAATTGTAGAAAAAAAAGCGGCAAAAAAAAATAAATGAAGATAAGAAATTGATAACATGAAGAACATCAAATACAATAAAACCGTCACCATTCACCTTGGGTAGACAACGCTGACCAGGGATTCCGTGAATGAAACCTTGAAGAATACCAATAGCCTGTTGGTTACGATAAAGGAGCCATTCTCGAAAATGGAGGTATCAGTCTCCCAGGTGCTTTAGAGAGGCTTCAATCAGACATCTACACTCAACCAGAACATCAAGACATTCAACCAGATGTCAAAAAAAGACAAAAAGACCGCTGCTGTACAATGTGACGTTTCGAACTTGATCTCCCTTTTATTATCGCTGTGACCATACTAAGTTTCATCAAAATTCATCCATAGATTCTGGAGTTATCCTGCTAAGAAGCTTAAGAAAAACGACAAACCAAAGGGTCCACTGCAGTCATTGACGTAGGGACCCCCACAAGGCCATTTGATCCATGCCTTCAAGAGTTATGCCGCATAAATCCACAGTCGCATAAATCACCATACCCAAAACAATTTCATAGCCTTCTGACGAAGGCAATAAATCGGTCTCAGCTTAGAACTTTGAAGGCCTCTTCATGTGAAATTTTGGCCACATCTATATTTACCACTAGTAATGTCTGTTTCATTATTTCCGAATCAATCATTTTTGAACTGATACGAACCTGATGGTAGGACTCGACAGAGGAAACGTTTCCGTCGAAATTCTTGAGTTATACCATCGGTTGTACGCAATTTGCCTCACAGTGTTATCGGGTTCGTTTCCATAGCCATGTCCCCAGGCCGGTGCTTTCCACTCACATTTGCCTTCCGCATATTTCCGCATTATGTGATTCCGCATATTTCTGCTCAACTTATATTAGCTTGAGACCGTTATGGATTGTGATGATTTTTGGTATGTGGGTAGGTCTTTGGAAGATGTGGGTCACTTGGTGACTGGTCTTGGAAGAATGGCAAAGCAAATGGCCCATATACGGCATACACTTTAATCTCGAAAAATGCTATATTATGCACATAACAAACAAACAAACAAACAGACAAACAAACAAACAAACGAACCCCACATGTAACTAACTACCAGTTTTGTGGTCAGGCTTTAGGTCTGAAGATCAGAAGATAAACTGGTCTATTAACATGTCAATTATGCAAATTAGAGTATGCAATGTGACATACTTTCTGCAATTAGTGCGCGATTGTGCGCATGAGATTACAGGAGATACTACAATAGACCAATTTACCTTTCACTGATCGCATGAACTACTTACGTCACAGAGGGGACATTTCGAATAGAACACCGTTTTAGAACCGGCTTTCACTTGCGTTGTACCCACTGGAGTGATTACGTCACAAATGTTGAGGTGCTGGAGCGAGCGGGGATCCTCAGCATCGAGGCCATGTTGCTGAAGATACAGTTGCGCTGGGCAGGGCATGTTTCTACAATGGAGGACCATCGTCTGCCCGAGATTGTCCTCTAGGGCGAACTGTCTACCCGGCACCGCAAAAGAGGAGCACCAAAGAAGAGATTTAAGGACTGTCTAAAGAAATCTCTGTCTTCGTGCAACATGGACCATAGTCAGTGGTCAGCTCTTGCCACTGACCGAGCTGCCTGGCGATATACAGTTCATGACTCAGTCTCTGCCTTCGAGAGGAGATGCAGAACTGCCCTCGAAGAGAAACGCAGTAAGAGGAAGAAACGCACCGTCACGGCTCCAACACCAGACCCGTTACTTACTTGCAGCCACTGTGGCCGAGTATGCCGGTCACGCATCGGACTTGTCAGCCACCAGCGGGCATGCAGCAGGAGAGGGAAGAGCCACTGAAATCTTCGGACACGAAGCCAAGCCAAGAGACCCACTGGCAGATTTCTAGACGTGGGTAACTTTAATTTCTGAACGTTTCTGACCCACGCTGGTACAAAAAGTCTAAAGCTTATCGACACTTCGCTGAAGGATGGCTGTCCCCTGTTTCCTTTAACCCAATCTTACCAGATAGCCGATTCTGCTATCTGAGGGCAGAATGCAGACCATCGCAGTGATTGCCAGGGGGGACACCACAAGCAAAAGCCGCGCTTCCACTTCTAGGTTCTACAACGGCGTTCTATTCGAAATGTCACCCCTGTGACGTAGGCATTTCATGCGATCCGTGAAAGGAAAACTGATCTATTTATGCTGACATGATACTATGCGAATACTACTAGCCTTATGCTCAAAAAGTCACTCCTTGCCAAAATGGTGACTTTTGATTCCAAACCTAACTCTGTCGGGCATTGGATTTAGTGCAGAATACTTTTCCTCAGATGAAGCCAACCACCTGGACCCTCAAATCCAACTACTGCTGGAAGTGACCTGGGAGGCGTTGGAGAATGCAGGAATTCCTCCAAGATCCATTCGTGGCTCCAACACCGGTGTTTACATGGGGGTCACCTCGAATGAGTACCTCACTTTGACATCCTACCCATATTCTAACATCAACCAGTATTCCAACTCCGGCACAAACTCATGCATGGTGGCCAACCGTATCTCCTACGAGTTTGACCTCCATGGTCCAAGCTTCTCTGTGGACACCGCCTGCTCCTCATCATTATACTCCATCCATCTTGCCTCTGAAGCCATCAGGAAAGGAGATTGCAGCATGGCCATAGCTGGGGGTGTCAACTTGATGCTGTTACCAATAATCACAGTGGGCTTCTGCCAAGCAGGAATGCTGTCACCAGATGGCAAGTGTAAAAGTTTTGACGCCTCTGCAGATGGATATTGCCGAAGTGAGGGCTCCGGGGTAGTTGTCCTCAAGCCACTCTCAAGAGCCCTGGCAGACGGTGACAGGATCTATGCTGTCATTAGAGGAGGCACTTTAACCAATGATGGGAGAACACCAGGCATCGCTAACCCCAGCTACGATGCCCAACTGGATCTTGTTGAGAAAGCGTGTGCAGCAGCCAAAGTACATCCTCACAAAATCGGGTACGTGGAGGCACATGGAACTGGCACCAAAGTTGGAGACAGAACAGAGGCAAACGCACTCGGCCAGATTCTTGGTAGGGGACGAAGAAGGGGAGATCCACCGCTCTACATTGGCTCGGTGAAGTCCAACTTCGGACACACGGAGGGGGCCGCAGGTGTAGCAGGGATCATCAAACTTGCGCTTATGATTAGCAAGGGCCAAATTCCCAGGGTGGTGCACTTTTCGTCACCGAATCCCGACATACACTTTGATCTGCTGAACGTCAAGGTTCCCAGGACTTTGGTACAGTGGGAAGAGGATGAAAACAGGCTTGCAGGCTGCAGCTCTTTTGGCTTTGGTGGAGCTAATGCTCACCTCATCCTGGAGAAGCCCCCGTCTCCAAATCGTCATCCAGCTGTAGCCAACAGTAACAAATTCATCAATCACAGTCAGTGCACAGAAGAAACAGAACATGAGGCAAAGACCATCATGCTGCTGTCTGGGAACACCAAAGCTGCCCTAAAAGAACAAATGGAACATTGGATCTCTTTCATAACAGACACCATACGTTTCAATGAAGACCACTTCCAACAGAGTCTGTACACGGCTGCAAACCGTTATCAACACCATGCAGAAAGGCTAGCAATAGTTGTCAACAGACCAGATGATGCCGTTCAGAAGCTAAATCTCATGATGAGAGGAGAAAAGCTGAAGCCAGCGGTGGAGGGAAAGGTCCACGCGGAGTCTGACCGAAGCAAGATGGTCTTTGTCTTTTCAGGAATGGGAACTCAGTGGTGGGGAATGGCCAGAAACCTTGCCCTGGAGGATCCAGTGTTCGGTGACGTGATACAGGTAACACTATGTGCATATTGGCAGCATGTCTTTTTTTAAAAACAACAGTCTTGAAAATGAATTAAACTACCTCTGCTGCTACTAACCCCTTTATCCTATTCAAAACTTAAACTTAATACTGACCACATAGGACTCTTTACAAAAACACACTTTATGTCTAATGTTGGAAAATGTTTTAAGTGTAGATATTCAGATGGACGTAATCAATAACAATCCCAAATGTCTGAATTGGTAGAATTTAGCTGCTTTGCACGCATTCTGTGCACATCCTTGGTCATGGCTGTCTTTTCTTCCACAGCGGTTTGAAGATTTGCTGAAGACACTAGGAGCTGACTGGTCCATCACCGACATGTTGACCAAGGAGACAAGTCCAGACAAGATCAACAGGACAGGTAAGTCGATATTACTCCGTGCAAACCATTTTCTAAGCTGTTTCTTGCTGTAGTTCTCAGCTGTCTGAGTAAATTTGTAACTGTGTGAACATCACTTTGCGAACACACACACACACGCACACACACACACACACACACACACACACTTTGCGCGCGTGCGTGTGTGTGACAGTGTGTATGATTGGGGCTTGTTCGTGCGTGTCTGTGTGTTCAAGTCTTCCAAAGAATGGCATTCTGTTGCAGACTGAAGAACTATGAATTTTTCAGTATGTAAGGAATAAAACTGTTACTCAATATCAATATAGAAACTTTGCTTTTATGTGCAGACATCTCACAACCCTGCATCTGCGCAGTTCAGATGGGTTTGGTTGAGCTGTTGAAACAGTATGACGTCATACCCGATGCCATCATTGGGCACAGCGTTGGAGAAGTGGCGGCAGCATACGCCGCTGGTCTCATAAGCTTCGAAGATGCCGTGCGAGTGATCTACCACAGAGGCAAGGCACTAAGCAAGACAAGTGGCCATGGAAAAATGCTAGCCGTACTGCACCCAACTGGAGAGGTGGAAGGGCTCGTGGAGAAAGACGACAACAAGAACATCATCGATGTAGCTGCCACCAACAGTCCCAACCAGATAGTGCTGTCCGGAGATGTCAATGCCATTGATACCTTCCACAACAAGCTGAAGAGTAAAGACATCAAATGTGTGCTCCTTAGAGTAAACAACGCATTCCACAGCTACCAACAGGAACGAGTGAAGGATGACATTCTTACGAACCTGAAGATTCTGTCAGCATTATCCGGCAGGACAACAGAGGCACAGATCCCTATGATTTCCACTGTCACAAACAAATGGCTGACGCCAGAGATCACCAACAGTGCCGACTACTGGTGGACAAATATCAGGCAACAAGTCCGCTTCATGCAGTCGGTACAAGTTCTCCTGCAGGAAGGCTACAACACTTTTGTCGAGATAGGGGCGCATCCAGTCTTGGGTTCTGCGCTAAAGGATATTGTAAGTGCCGTTAACTCACGCACAACTAAGCCAAACATCATACCCACTCTACTACGACCAAAAGACATCTCTTCAACAGCCGATGACCGTGAAAACATACTGGTCACTACCGGAGCCTTGCATGTGGTGGGGTACCCAGTCAACTTCAGCCGTGCGTTTGAGGAAAAGCACCGACGTGTTCACGACATCCCTACATACCCTTGGCAAAGGGTGCTGTGTAATGCTAGTACAGACAGCATTATTTCACAGTACAAGTTTCCTCAGAGGGTACATCCTTTACTTGGACAAGCACAGGAAACCACCGAAGGGACGAACAGCCAGAGGTCAAAGGTTTGGTGTTCCAATCTTTCCGAGGAATCAGTACCGTGGCTAAAACACCACGTCTTGGATGGAAACGTGGTCGTCCCGGCTACAGCATATGTGGAGACAACACTGGCAGCAGCCTCCGACATCTGTGAGGGTCAGAACTTAATCTTGTTGAAAAACCTTCAGTTCAAACGTTTCATGTTTGCCCCCACATCAGAAGCGGTAATCAAATCAACGATTCAACACAGAACCGCAACAGAAAAGCAGTTTGACCTGTACAGCAAAGATGCCTCCGGTTCATGGATCCTTCATGCCACAGCAGAGGTACACAAGGCAGACCTGACCAAACAAGCTGGAGCCACAGATCCCCTTGCCAATGTTGCAGAGAGGTGTTCCAAGACTATTTCCAGCGAGCAGATCTATGAAGCTGCAGAGAAAGCTGGCTTTCATCTCGGTAGCTCGTTCCACTGCGTTACCTCCTGCACAGCATCTGACAGCTATGAAGAAGCTCTGGTCACAGCAGAGGCCCCAGAAGAGATTTCAAGAGAATTTGGACGATACATCTGCCATCCTGCTTTCATGGACTCATTTCTGCACACATTTTTCTGTTTGTCACTCCTAAAAGACAAGAACACGAGAAAGACACCAGCAAAGCGAGTTCCACTCTCCATGAAGTCTATGCACATGTTCACAAAAATGCCGTCAAAGGTCACTCTCTACGTAAGAGTTTCAAAGAAAGGTCAACGCAAGGGGGTGGACATCACAGTGACCGACACCAGCAACCACCAAGTCGTTTGCGAAATCAAAGAGCTCATGTTTGAGGATATGGATGCAGGTTCGTCCTCTGGACTCAAGCTTTGGAATCTTCAATGGGAACATCTTGTCAAGAATGGAAGCAATGAAGCGCAAGAGCCTACCGTATACAAACATGTGCTGGTCCTTCATGAAAATGAAAGCTTTGGCTCAACAGTGAGTACAGCTCTGCAGGCCAATCTGGGTTGCACAGTTGAGATGATGAACCAAAATATCCTGTCTGAAAGTGAAGGTACTAAGAACACGCAAATGCATGCTGATTTCGATCACATCCTTGTTCTGTATGATTCTGAAATGCAAGAGCAAACAGAAGATCCAGGAGATCGTTTTGCTCAAGTTCTAAGATCTTTCAAATGTCTTTCCATGTTGAAGCGCTTTTCACGTCTTGATCAGCCCCCAACACTTTGGATTATCACTCGCGGGTCATCTTCAGTGCAAGAGCAAGACATCGTGAGCCCGTTCCTGGCAGGTACGTCATCTCTGTGCTTATCCATATTTCAGGAGTACCCACTCTTCAAGGTTAAGGCAGTTGACTTGACCCCACAGCAAAACTTCGTTGATGCAGCCATGGAAGTTTTGTCCGTCTTACAGGCAAATCTTAGGGAAAATGAAATTGCAGCTCGTATGGATACCTCCGCAGACAACATGCAGGTCAACCTTTACGCTAGGAGGCTGAGCTCGATGAAACCTGACCAGATCGTCACAACATGTTCTCCCAACGAATCATGGACATTTGACCCCAAGCAGAGGCAAAATGGGAAGAAACTCTACAAAGCTCAATCGAGTCCTAGCACACCAACAAGAAATGAAGCTACAGTTAAGGTTGCGGCCTTTGCTGTATGCCCCTTTGCTGACGTGTTGGGGAGGCATTATGGGCCTGCCCACGACATCCACCTCATCTGTGGCACCGCACATCACCCACCCACAGCAATGACGGTACAGGAAGGATCAAGGGTAATGGGAGTCGTCATGGGCTGTATCAGTCCTCAAATGAACATACAGATGAGAAACCTAGTGCCCATACCGGGTACCCTCTCTTGGGACAATGCAGTTGCAATAGTCAAAGACCTCTTGCCAGCATTCTCTTTCTTCCAGAAGATCCAGACAGTGTGTCAAGAAGATAGAGTTGTTGTTTTCCTGCCCGGCGGGGTTAACAAAGAGTCACTGGCTTATGCCTCCCTGGCACTACACCACAAGGCTGACGTCTGTATTGTGGCAGATACAGTCCAAAATGTAAACATTGAAAAACATCTTGTCTATACATCAGGATCCCGCTCACCTACATCGTCAGCACTGATCACAACGTACGACAAGGTTGAGCAAGACATACCAGACAAACATGCAAGTGTGGTGTTCTTACCTAAAGGGGACAGGGCAGGAGACGTCCTCCAACAAGCTACAAGGAAGTTACAAGACTTTGGAACTTTAGTTAATTTGGGCGGCTCACCAATCCATATGGAACAACTTCCAAAGAACATCAAATACATCGCTGTGGATCCTCTCGCTAGTTGCAAGGAAGAATCATCCCTCGTTTGCATGGCAGACAACATTCAACAGCTTCTATCAAAATTTGACAAGTCAGACAACACGCTTTTCTCGTTCATACCATCTGTACAAACCAAGATGGAGCTATCCTCTTTATCCCACATATTGCACCAACAACAGAAGGGACTGAAGATGCCCGATATAGTGACCATCGATGACAGGGTAGTAGAGTTGGGCCTAGACATCAAACAAAGCCTGTTTATAGCTGACGACAAATCTACATACGTTGTCACGGGAGGTCTGAAGGGCTTTGGTCTTGCCCTACTGGAATGGCTGGCCAGGTCTGGAGCACGTTATCTGGTTGTTCTTGCAAGAAGTGAACCGAATGAAGAAGCCAGAATAATGCTGGCAGCATTGGCATCAAAGTCTGTTGACGTCAAGGTGATGGAAGTGGATGTAACCAACAAGAAAGCTGTAGAGGAGGCACTGGCTTGGGTGCGTGGTACTATGCCACCAATAGAGGGGATATTCCACTGTGCAGCAGTATATGCAGACAAACTGATTGATCAGACTACTCAAGACGACTGGGAAAGGGTCATGCTTCCAAAGGCAGTTGGTGCTATAATCTTACATGACGTCACGAAGAAGCTCCACATCAGGCTTAAGCACTTTGTCCTCATCTCCTCAGTCGTTGCTCTGTTTGGTAACACAGGACAGGTCGGCTACTGTGCAGCTAACAGCACTCTGATAGCACTGGGAGAAGCAAGACGGCAAGAGGGTCTGCCTGCAACAGTCGCCAGTTTTGGGGTCATCAACACCGTTGGATTTGCAGAGAGATCCGGTCTTGTCCAAACGTGGGAGAGAATGGGTGTGCAAAGCATCTCACCACATGACGCATTGGAAATCCTTGGGTGCATGACGGAAAATCAGTATCCTCATTTTGGGATCACTGCCACCTTCGATATTCGAAAATATTGTAGTACCCACAAGTCAATGGCGCTGCAACACCTACAGGCCCCTGACACCTGCTTTTCTCGATTCACAACATTGGTACCAAATGACGTGTTCATTGGGTCAGTATCCCTCTCTGACAAAGTGCTTGTTTCAACCAAAGACAATGGTCTAAGGACCATACAGGAGGAGCTGATTGCTTACATATGCAAACAGCTTGGCATTGAAGACCCGACTGAAATCACCATCGAGGCAATTCCAGTATCCCTTGGACTGGACTCTCTCTTGTCTGTGGACATGAGCAACGACATAGCAGACAAATTTGAGGTGCAGGTTACAACCGTGGAACTTCTGAGTGACAAAATGACTATCAAGATGCTCAGTGAATCCATCTATGACAAAATGGTTAACGTAGCTGGTAGCCACGGAACAACAACAGACTCCCTCAACCCATTGGCACCTGAAAGAAACTCGTGGCTTCACTTCCTTGTTAAGCTCCAAGACCCGGTCCTTACCCTGGTTTGCTTCCCTGCAAATGGTGGAGGTCCATCACTCTTCCATCAGTGGAAAGAACATTTTGCAAAACACAACATTGAGGTTGTAGTCGCCACTCTGCCGGGCTGGGAAAGCAGAGAAAGGGAATCTCCCATCAGCAGCCTACAGCAGATTGTTGAGGCACTTGGGAGTCAAATCATGGAGACGTTGGTGAACAGGAAGATGGTATTTTATGGCCACAGCATGGGATCACTCATAGCATTTGAGGTCGCACACTTGATCCACACCAAAGGCAGTGTATGCCCTTCCCATCTATTTGTTGGAGGGTGGTATGCTCCATCTCTACCCTATCCACATCCACAGGACCTGAGGGTATCACCCACTTTGTTCGACCCTTTAGCTGGAACACAGCAGATCATGGGAGAGGCTAAAACATTCTCCTTCCTACCAAAATCTATTGTTAACAACCCCACCCACCTGCGGCGACTGTTGCCATGTCTCCAGGCAGGGTTAACGATCTGCAAGTCTTACATCTGCGAACACAAGGAGCCACTGCCATGTAATGTTGTTGCATTTGGCGGCGAAGACGACCCCTTTGTTTCCCCCGAACTTCTTGACAACTGGGAGCTTGTTGCATCCGACTCACCAGCCACAAGACCAGCCTTCAGGAAGTGCATTGTGCCGGGTAGGCATTTCTTCATCATATCGTCAAGACAACGCGTTCTCAACAAAGTGACGAGTGTCCTGCAGGAAGACAACGCAATGATTCAACCATCAGACAAAAGTAGTGGAAGAGATACACCGAAAGTGGTCGACACGGAAGCGACCCTGTCCCCAACAATGGTTTCCAGTGATCTGTCTCCTGCAAAGTCTGCATCAACTGAACGACAGGTGTCTTTGACACCGATAGGAAAGGCTCAACTGAGGAAAGAGTGTGCTAATGGTTCATCAACATCACACAGCATCGACTCCCCCCAACAACAGATCAAAAACTCCAGTCCAGATGTGTCACATGCACTAAACGATGGTCTTCTGCAGATGCTCAAGAAAGGTATTTGCTTTCTCTGCTCAAGTTAGATGGTTTATCAGCCTAATATCCTGATAATGATTATACATTAAATCTATACTAGGCATTTTTAAAACTAATTTCTGTACCTGTTTATTTTTACAAAACGTAATTACCAATGCTTCGAACTGCATGTCATCAACAATGTACATCATTCATCAAAGTAATGACCTATATCGGTACGAAGTTCCTCTTCCAGGCTTCATGGTTTATTGTGGTTTATTGTGGAAAACTCTCCTCAGTTCCTTTCCATCTGATCATAAAAGAGAAATGAAACCATGCCAAGTCGTCATAGTTTTCATGTTATCCCTTTCATCATAGGTAGTACAGTGAAGAAGATGACATCCAAAGGGTGGACGCACAAGAAACACCTCCAGTTGGTGATGAAGAATGGCTTGGCTGCAGACCTTCTTTGGGGCTCGAACGGCAAAACCAGACAGCTTTCAGTTTTGAGTATCTCCAGTATCCAGAGTTCCACAGTTGAAGGTAGGGAATCGTTTTGGATGTCTCCTCTCAACGATAGCATTTACTTTTCTTGTTATTAAATTGTTACCTGATGACATTCCTTCTGACAGAGCTTAACTTTATCAGGTAATGATTAAGCTAACCAGTAGCTACGCAAATGGATCTCTTTTACGTTTATTTGATAAACCATTGAAAACTATTGAAACACTCTTTTATTGACAGATCGAACTCTCAATCTCCCAATTCAATTACACTGCAAATGCATTTAGAAATGTACTCCACAATGTACAGCATTTATCAAAGTACTGACCTACACTGGTAAGAAGTTCCTCTTCCAGGCTTTATGGTTTACTGTGGAAAAATCTCCTCAGTTCCTTTCCATCATCAGAACAAACAAAGCCATCTTGGCATTCGATTTCGTTCTAAATATGACCACATTCCCGATTGCCCACAGGTAAACCCAGTCTCCATTTGATAACCGAGGAACGAGACTTCACGTTCATCTTCAACTCCAACAAGGACATGGAGAGCTGGAGGCACGCCCTGTGGACCCTACTCAACACATGTACAGCTTCAGATGAAGATCCAGAGAGGGAAGACACACACCTTTAAAGGTCTGTACTGTCGATCTTCTATATCTACATGTACATATCTTGGCACAAATATGGTTGAAATCAGCATTCCGCATTTTGTGGTATACAAATGAGAATACATCTATTCAACAATGCTCTATCTTATTAATGGGAATTCATACAATATAGATTACTCTAACATATTAATCAACGTTGAAACATTTTATTTATGTTTGTTTTGTTGTAGAGTTCTCCGTACCCTGGGTGAAGCTCGTCCTCACAGGTGCTTACACACAGAAGACGATTCAATGAGTCTTGACAACTATCATCAACGAATGACTAACAATAACATGTCTAAACCTACTGTCATTAGAAAGTTTCATTGCAAATTCATGCCCGAGGGCTAATTGCATGAACAGAAGAAACATTTGTATAAAAACAGATAATTAGTACACATAGAACTACTGATAACTATTAAGAAACTACTAGTAAAAACTACTGGGTTTGACTTCTTTTTTGAAGACAGAGGAAGACAAAGGATCCCACTTTTTCCGTAATTTGTGATTAAAGGGATAAGACCGCTCAAGTATTGTATGACTTTTGTGACAGCCAGTCAAAGTCAGTTAGATACTGTTGTAAGATTCTTAGCTTGAAATCTTATGGAATAATATATGTACTCAAGCCACTGATTTCAAGTCTACAAATATACATGTATATGGCACATAATGTACATGTACATTTGGCTATCTAATCCTTCAAAGACTTTTCCTACCAATATTTACCCGTTTTACAGTGATTGCAAAGGATGATGACATCATACGATTGCATTGCATAATATTAATCCTTAATTTTTTATTGGATTTATAATGTACTACATGTAGTATATGAATAAATGTTTTAGATATACATGTATGTAAGGATATACATGTATCTTGCAGTGGCAGCGTTTTTGTATGTGTGTATGCTGAATAGACGATGGTGTTATTTAAGGTGTTCATGGACGAAATGGGCTTTAATAGAGACTTTAGCGCATCAGCAAAATGTAGTAAATAGCGTTTCAAAGGATTAAGATTTCAAAATTTTATGGAAATTTTCATGGAATAATAGCAAAAGCGGATTTCATGCCAATTCGAGCTTTCATGAATAAATAAAAAATATGTATGGCAGATAATGCACATGTAGATCAGTTGTAGATCAATATATTCTCCATATCTAACCGTTTTACAATTACTGAAAAGTAACATTAAAGTAGTATACAATATCATATATATATCGAGAGATTTTTGTGCTAAGCATTACATAATATGTATCATTGAGTACTTTATTTGATTTATAAGAAGGTACTGCATGTAGTATGTGGATTGATGTTTTTCATTGTTTTCATTTCATTGTTTTTCAGTGATATATCTTTCAGTATGGGAAGTGGCAGTACTAGGTATATATAGTAGATAAATCATATGGAATAGATGGTGGTGGTCTCTAAAGAAGTTTGTGGACGAAATGTACTTTAATAGAGACGTTAAGATTTGCTTGATGTATAACCACAATTTTCCCCTCGAAACGCGAGAAATAGCGTTTCAGAGGGTTAAACGTTTCCAACTGCATGCGTTAATGTTATTCCTGAAGTCAACTTCATGTAGTTTTATGTTCTTGTCTTAAGCACTACTGTAAATTGTAAGAAACATATGCACATTTACATGGAGACAGGTTTATAAATTTTCAAACAATAATGTTTTTATCTAGTGAATTCATTACATGAAGAATAATCTGTCATTTTTTAAAGTTTTTTTTTTGCATTTAGATGTGAACTAATTGCTCAACAGCGCTGTATGTACTACATGTATATGGATCCTGTCTAATAACTTGGATGTAACGTGTGTATTTGTTAACCAAGAACAGTTATAGGTGATAAATGAATGTTAACATGTAAGGATGGAATATCATATAATTATTATTAAGGTGGATATCTTATAATGCAGACGTTGTTTGAGAATAGGTTATTAACAGCAAATGTCTGCAAGGATATGGTGGCGTAGGTAAAAAATAGATTTGGCTCAGATTTTGCAGTGATAGTACCCACAATTCCTCAAATAGCTTCTTTCCG